AAGGCAAAACAAAACAAAATAAAAAAAACCAAACAGCAGGGAGCAGGGGAGGCATGAATTTTTTAATTCCAAGTCCCTTACAGTAGTAGGCAATATAACAGTATTTATTTGGGGGGGGGCAGAGAAATGATTACAATATGTGGAATTTTCTACGGATTTATTTTTTAACATAAAAAGCTACTTAAACAATGTCAGAGATTAAGAAGATTGTTAGATGCTCCAAGTTTTCTGGAACAACAGAGAAACTCTCTCCCATAGCTCAGAAGCTGCATGAGGCATAGCATTTACACCAGGGCAGTCCTTCTGCCTTACATTTACACCTATGGACAAATGTTGCCTTTGGGGCTTATGATTCAGTGATGCATGAGGGATGCTGGCTGGCAAAAAAAAAGACTTACTGGAGAGGGAAAGGGGAGGGAGGAAAACCTCCATTAATTTCTCTCTTACTTTCCTTTATTTTAGAAGAGAAAATCAGAACAAATTTTCCATCCCATAAAGTAATACATCTCACATAACGTTGGTTATTTGAGGGCCACAACACAAATCTAGCAAGCTTTCAGAAAGTTAGCCCAGGCTGCCCTGATGTGCTTTCACTTGGGCTGTCACTGGTCAAAAAAAACAAATCTGGTTTTGAGAGCTTAAGCAGCATTTCCTCCAATCTCAGTACCAAACTCTACCCAGGCCCTTGCAAGGAATCTCTAGATTCTCATGATTTGCAAGCTATATCCGGCATTTTCATTTCACTGTGAGCTCCCCTGGGCCTACAAGGGTCAGTTTTTGTTGATCTTATCTGGCTCCACGCTTTGCAAACTGCAGCCGCTCGATATATAGTGTTGACCCTAATACAATTTCCAGCCAAATGAGTTTTTCCTGAATGATCCCCAAACAGTTCCAGCCACGAACTTGTGTTTCCTTCTTTTTTTTTCCCCCCTCCTCCTTCCCATTAGTAAGGGACATAAATGTTAGAATCTTGAGCCAACCCAATCAATCCTACAACCACGTGCTCGTGGATTTCCAGACAGGAAGATGAAGGAACGTGGCGTCGTAGTAAACCGTAGTAAAGAGAGAAGGGAAACAAAATGGGGCACGTCACATGGTCATGGCCTGGATTTTTCTCAATTAAAAATAAGAGGAAGTGTGTGTTTCCGGCCTCTGTCAGTGGGCTGGTTGGACTTTCTCATTCTTAGGATTCTGGGCTGGATGCACGAATAAGGCTGAGCGCATTAACATCCTCTGGGAGGGGAGTAGGAGGGGGCGCGTATTTGGCTCAGTTCCACTGGCACTAGAGGGAAGAGGTGGAGGGAGAGAGTTGGGAGGGCTTAGTGGCCCTGACGCCCAGCCCCGGGGGCCACCGCTGAACCCAGGACCCAGCCGGAGGCCCCCGGCCCCCACCCCATCCCCCCGACCCGAGGCCCCACCCCGCGCCCTAGGCAGCACGGCAGATACTCGCGCAGATTGGCTCTCGCCGGAGCCAATCAGGGCCCGTCCGCTCCGCCCACTCAGAGCCAGACCTGCACCGAGAGGCCGAGGCTCACCAGCCTCCGCGGACCACGCGGCGGGGCGGGGAAGGGGCCAGGCAGCCCGGCGCCTCCAGGCGACCGGAGGTGGGCGGGGTGGGAGATCTGTGAGGGCGGCCTCAGCCCCGCTGCAGATTCCCCAACCCCCGGCTAAAGGGGCTTGGAAGAGGGAGGGGAGCTAAGTGCCAAATAAATAGGGAGGAATGCAGGAAGCGGAGGTGACCCGGGAAACGGGAAAGTGCCAGAGCTGAGACGGTACGCGCCAGACAAAAAAGGCCACACAGGGAGGGGAAGGGAAGGAGGGAGAGAGGAGAGGTAGTCCTGGAGGTACGGAGTCCTTGAAATCACAACAAGGAAATGGAGCAAAAGGAAGAGAAATGCCCCCCTTTTTGGGGGGGGGGCATAACAAAATGCCAAAAAAATAAATAAAAGGAACTTAAACGGGACGGCTTGGGTCTGTGCCTTTGCCAAAGCCTGCTCTATCTGCCGGAGCTGCCGTTTCAAAACAAAAAACAAATTTGAGGTAAGAGCTGCTTAAAGATAACTGGGCTGCTGTGTCCTTTCTGTCTCTTGGGCTCTCAATCCACTCTCTGCAGAGAGGAGGCCACAAGGACTGCGAAATTCTCAAATGGAGAAAAAGAGAAAAAAAGACAAGGCCAGACACATGAAATAAGAGGTGGGAAGCAAAGGGAATGGGAGAAGGCGCTGCTGGAAAACAAGAACTCAAAATCAGACCGAAGTTAGAGGAGGCACAGGTGGACAAAAATTGGTAACTGGACGTGAGGTCATTCAGAAGGACAACCACCAGTCCTGAGCACCTGAGCTGCGTCACAGATGTTCTCCTTGAACAGTCAGTGAAAAATATTAGACAAGCCTCGATGTTTAAAATGAGTTAGGAGAAAGCACACACCCCTTCTAGCTCCCCATTCCTTTCCCGTTTCAGGTTTTACCTGAGCCATGCGCAAGAGAGGCAAAGATAGCAATTGCTGAGGAAGTTAGGAAAAGGATGTTTTCACAACCAAAATACTCATTCCTAGGAAAAGTTGTTTGCCAAGGAAGGTCGGATTTTTTGTTTCAGATAATTGATGATCAGATCACATCTTTAAACTCAACAGGGCAAAGGCAAGGGAGAATTCAGGATGGAAGGGTGTCAAGTAGCATTTGGTGCCTCATTTAAAACACACTACAAACACCTCTCATCTCTCCATTTACAGCTTACAAAATACACACTGTAGAATTTTTCTGGCGTGGGGCTGTCCAAGCACGGTGTATTGCTTACTCCAAGATTATTAGGAATATGATTATAAGTTTATTCCAGAATATTACATTCTCCCGAAGAAAGCTAAGAATAGAAGATCGTTTTGCTTTAGTTAGTTTTTAATGTACCCTCCACATAAAGAGGACTTTATTTTAAAGCTCCTTTAAGAGAGGAAAACTCTATTTGGTCATCAGTTTCTTTCAGAGCAAAATATTATTTCTTCTCTCTATAAAAAGAAACCTGTTCAAACTAGGAAAACAGGTGAGGAAAATTTATTGTTTCTTAGCTTTCGTCTTCTCTAAAATGAAAATTTTGGCTCTGCTGGGTTTGTTTCCTACAAATCCTCATTACTTTATAAATGAAACATTTTGCAACATAAATGGTTAAAGCATTAGAGGGATTCACATTCCTAAAAAAGTCATTTTTTTATCATTTAAAAATAACCAAAGTTTTTAACTTTTGATGTTGACAAATATAATTAAATCTCTTCTAGTCAATCACGAAAATAAACACTGAATTGCTAATCAAATAATGCTTTCTATATCATCTCACCTAAAATCTTAGTCTGAATGTGTACCTATATGTTGTTCTAGAAAACAGCACATGATATGGGTCAAATATTAGAAGCTGGTTAGAATCGAGGAGATTGAGACTACATAATAAATACCTACCAAGAGGAACCCAATGCACAATTTCTTATCAATGGACACATATTTAAAAGCTCATTCTATGAAGCATACATCAAAAAGACTATCACAAGATAATCAGTTTGTCAGAATAAAGTGTTTCCAAATGCTGGAAACTTCTGCACTGCCAACTCATCACATTATTTGCAGACTATACTCTCTTCTTCCCACAATTATGACCACCAGAAAATAGGCTCAACAGAATGAAGGACAGGCAAATTTTCTATTACAAATGTTTTTCATTTTCAATAGAGCCTCAGCCACAGAAGACGTAAAGCCAACTTTCAACATGTACTTAGGTGTCTATTCCTGCACTTTAGGCAAACAATAAATGCTCTAAAAATGGAAGAGTACTCCTAGCCTTTATGCAAAACAAAACCAAAGCTCGGCATTTCCCTAACATAATATTCCTTTTCAACGTAAAAATGTTAAGTAATTTTACAGAAGATGTACAGTAGCCCCCAAATGATCTGTGTGATGTCTCCCTGCAGGCCTTTGCAAGAACAGACAACTGTAAGGCAGACACGCTGGGATGAACTTCCATAACTCTTCACTAATAATGGGTCCCAGACACATGCAGACTTTACTGCAGACCCCGTGCAAAAGCAGAGGTGGTGGGTCAGTGTGTGAATAATATTTCACAGATTCTGGAGCGCCTGGGTGGCTCGGTCGGTTAAACATCTGCCTTCGGCTCAGGTCATGATCACAGACAGGGTCCTGGGATGGAGAGCCCCACATCAAGAGCCCCACATGGGGCTCCCTGCCCAGCGGGGTCCTGCTTCTTCCTCTCCCTCTGCTGCTCCCCCTGCCTGTGCTCTCCTGCTGTCAAATAAATAAAATCTTAAAAAAAAAAAAATCACAAATCCTGGTTCAGGAGCAAAAAGACAATGTCACCCATAATTACTTTCTACAGAGAGTCATAAATAGGCAGGTATTTCTCCCTAAATATGTCAGCCTAAACAAGCTCTTACTCCTGAATCTTTTTAAGGCAGCAAGAATAAAAACTGATGTTTCCACTACTATTTATGTTGCCTCGGTACTGTGAAATCACAGAATTCAAGTACACAGAGCAACTTGGTAAGATCACCCTTAAGAGCTCCAAGAAACTATCTGAGATGAACGGTTTGGACCAGCCCCTGTGCTAACAAATATTTTTGTAGAGCTGTTCCTTCTAGGGACTGACCTAAATATATAGTCAAAAGAAAACTTCAGTAAGGAGAACAAGGTTCTTATGTATGAACTTCACAAACCTCAGAACTGGTATAGGGTATATATTTTGAAAATACTACAATAAGTACTTCACTTGGGAGCCTCAAATGAAAGGCCTCCTGGGCCAAGGCTCCAACAGGTTTACTGATAGTCAGCCAAGTGTCCTGGTGGGGGGAGCTCCTTGTGTGCCCTCCCCTCCCCCATACTGTGAAAGCACTCCCTAAGTTAGCAGTGGGAAGGAGAGGAAAGGGGCCCAGGCAAAGAGGAAGAGAATTCCAGCACAAGGTTAAAAGCAGTTTTGTCTTCTGACTTTGTCACCATGAAACGCACCTGCTGTGATGTCCAGTTGAGCTACTGGAGGTCCTCTGGCTGCTTCTGGAAACTGATGCTGGCATAGGTGCTTAAATCCTCGCTGGAGCGGCTGCTTGAGCGGCTCTCCCTGCTGCCCAGAGGCTGATGAGGGGGCGGGGGCGAGGGCGGTTGAGGGGGGCGCTCCTGCGGGCGCTGTTTGAAGTCCTTGACCAAATCCAGGTCTATGTAGTTAAGCCCATTCTCCAAACCCCCAGCAGCCCCGCACACTTGGGCCGGCTCCTTGGGGGCTCCCCCGAGCTCGCTAGGCCTCAGCCACACATTCTCAAAGGAAGCAGAACTGTGGCGTTTCATATCCTCCGTGCTGCTGCTACCAGCACTGCTGCCCCCTACAGCAGCCCCCCCTCCAAAGGGCACCGCGTTGCCTGCCCGGGTGGCACTTGGTGTGGAGGAGAAGGTCTCAGAGCTATGCCGCCTCCGGCACCCTTGTGGGTCCGCACGGATCACTTTGGCACTCTGCGTGCGGTTGGGACTGAGGTTCACCCGGGTGAAGGCGCTCATGCCCCCAGGTCCCTGGGGGCCCCCCAGCAGGGAAGAGCGGGCCACCAGCTCCCCTGCTTTTTGAGGCGTGGTGGGAGAAGCAGAGGCTGCAGAGGATGAGGAGGGAGCAGCCGCTGTGGCCCCTGGAAGGCTGGCCTCCTCCACAACAATGCCTGTCCGCATGTCGGCATAGCTGACGGGGGCAACTGGTGAGGTGTCCACGTAGCCCTGCCCAGGACAACCCATCTGCATGGTCATGTAGTCCCCCCGGCTGCTGGGCACTGCCCGGGTAGGCCTGCACATGCTAGCAGCCCCGGGTGGTGCAGGGCCCACGCTGCCTGGCTGGACCCCAGCGCTCTCCTGCCAGGTCGCCCTCCGGCCTGGCCCCAGGTCCATGTTCATGTATTCCTCAGTGCCAGTCTCATCCTCTCGGGGAGCTGGCTGGAGCTGGGATGGGCACCTGACAGAAGGTGAGCTGCGGGAAGCCACAGGACCAGATAAGTAAGCTGGCTGATCACTCCCAAATTCAATATTCACATATTCGCCGGGGCTCTTGGGCTCTGGGGGGCGCAGCAGGGGCGGGAGCTGCTGTTGTTCCCGGACCCGAGGTAAGGTGCTGGCCTTGGGGTCCCCCAGGGACAGCCTCGTGGGCCGAGCCAGGCGGCTGTGGGTCTGGGCAGCTGTGTCCACCTTTCGAGGCAGATGGGGCTGCAGGACCTGATGGTGGACATGTGGGAGGCCAGGATCCGGCCTCACCCCACAGTATCCCCCGCCCAGGCTGTCGCTGCTGGTGGACGAGGAGGAATCTTCCGCCGTTGTAGCATAGAGAAGGCGGCCAGAGCTGGAGGAAAGGCGGAGGTGCCGAGCACCCTCCTCCAGCTCCCCAGGCCGCTGGGTGTGCTTAAAGGACCTTGGCAATGAGTAGTAGGAGAGAACTGGCTTGTGCTGGGGGTCCTCCGGGCCGTAGTAGCAGTCGGAGGGGCTGCTGGTGTTGGAGTCCCCCACTGGCGACATGTTCATGTAGTCACCAGTACAAGACAAGAGCTTGCCACTCCCGCTCTCCATGGGCAGTTTGGGATGCGGCAGGGCGTGAGTGTGGTGGCCCCCGACCCCATTTGTCCACAGCTTGCCGTAGCAGCTCCCAGAAGGGGCAGCGCTGCTGCTGGGTCCGCCTCCAGTGTCCGGGGAGCAGCTGCTGCTTGGGGACATCATCATGTAGCCATTGGGGTCCACTCTCTGGGGATGGCGTCTGATAGGGTTGATGATCTGCTGCGGCGCCGACACGCTCTTGGGGCTCATGGGCATATAGTCGCCACTGCCCTTTCGGCTGCTGGGCACTGGCGCCACTCCTGGCGACATGGGCATGTAGCCATCATCCGTGTGGAGAGCGGAGGAGTCTGGGCGGTGGTGGCCCCCACGCCTGTCCAAAGGGTGCATTTCCAGGCCCTCCTCAGGGTAGGAGTGGGTGGGCACGAAGGCAGAGTGCCGGTAGCCAGGCAGCCGGCCTCCACTGCCACCTCCTGGCGGGTAGGCAGGCATCATCATCTCTGTGTATTCCTCAATGGACGCTACAGATGACTGGGATGGGGTCTTCTGGTGGGAAATGGTAGGGGATGTGCCCGCGGAGTGAGTCCGCTTCCGGAACCGATTATCCAGATCTGCAGCACTGGCTGCTTCATCCCCAACCAGGGCTGGGCTTGTGCCCAAGCCAGCTCCTGGGACGCAGCGGTGACCGTTGCCACCCCGAGGTAAAATGTAGTGACCATTGGGGGCGGTGAGGGTGGAGGACCCTTTGCCTCCCATGCAGATGTAGTTGCTCAGCTCCTCCTCACCGCGGGCCGGTGGCGTGTGGCCCAGGGAATCCGGGGTGACACTGCGGAAGGAACTTCGGAAATCGCAAGGGCTGGAGCCGTACTCATCGGAGGAGATGAAGCCGCCATCGCTGGGGGAACCCGACACAGAAGCACTAGACCGCCGCGGGAAGAGACAGTCCGAGGTGGAGCCGTGGCCGCTGGTGCTGCTGGACGACAGGCTGACCGGGCTGGTGGCGGAAGGCGAGCAGCGGGAGGAAGGCATGGGGATGGAGCGGCTGTGGTTGAGAGGGGGGTGCAGCCGGGAGCTGCCGCGATGCCGGTGGGCGTGGGTCCTGTTGGTGCTGGGACTCACGGGGCTGCCGTCCACCGAGGCCGGGCGGGACATGGTGCCTTCGCCGTCGCTGGACGCACGCACACGGAAAGAGCCCTGCTTGCCGCCCACCATGCTGGCCGGTGAGGTGGCGGTGATGCTCTCAGTCCGCGAGCGGCGCGTCAGCCCCACCTGGCTGGGCGGGGGGTTGTTGAGGTGGTGCCTGCGCAGGGGAACGCTGATGGGGTTGGAGCAGTTGGAGGAGGACTGGCTCTTACTTCGAGGACGGAACTCATCGCTCATGGCCCGCATGGCCTCCAGGATGGTCTCGTGCATGTTCTGGGCCACCACAGAGTCATCCACCTGCATCCAGAACTCCCCAGGTCCTGTCACTGCGGAACGGCCCACTTCGATGAAGAAGAAGTTCTCTGAGTGGCCGCAGCGTCTGATGTTCATCAGCTGCAGCACCACGGCCGCCGCCTCCGAGTTCAGCTTCACGAAGCTGATGGTCTTGCTGGTCAGGCAGAGACGGTAGATGCCAATCAGGTTCTTTGTCTGACCCAGGCCCTTGGGTTTCAGGATCACCTGCCAGACCTCCTTGAACGCAGGTCCTGGGGGCACGTCCCCGTAGCTCAAGTCCTCCCCAGCCTCCCCAAGGCCCGAGCTGCCGCTGCAGCTGCCCCCGCCGCCTCCTGCCCCGGGGGCCGCGGCCCCGTCGTGGTGGCCCTTGGCCCGGTTGTGCAGCTGCAGGAGGGCCTGGTACCAGCTGTCCTGCTCGGCCTCGCTGTCCGCCGCGATGGCAAAGTGCTCGTCCCGGGTGTAAAGGGCCACCAGGTGCTTGTTCTTGGAGTCCGCCCGCTTGTTGATGTTGAAGCAGCTCTCGAGGGGGATCGAGCGTTTGGGGGCGCTCGACTTGTGCCGCCACTTCTTCTCGTTCTCGTAGTACTCGAGGCGCGCCGGGCCCCCCGCCTCGCTGGCCGCCCGCAGCACGAAGAAGCGCTTGTGCATGCTCTTGGGTTTGCGCAGGTAGCCCACCTTGCGCACGTCCGAGAAGCCGTCGGTCTCCGGAGGGCTCGCCATGCTGCCGCCGCCACCGCAGCCGAGGAGAGGGAGGCGCCGAAAAACAACCGGGTGGGGGGCGGAGGCTCCTCGCCGCGGCCCCGCACATGCAAACAGGGCTGGAGACTGCCGAACCCCCGACTCCGAAAACCACGCCGCCCCCCGCGCCGGGGAGGAGCAGCCGAACGGGGACGCAGCTGCTGCGCCCAGGAGATGGCCTCGGCCGGAGTTTACGGGCGTTTCATGCCCCGGGGGGGAGGCAGTGCGTCCAGGGTGAGTGAAGCCCGGATCCTCCGAGAGGCAAGTCTCCTCACAGCCGCCGCGGCCAGAAAGGGGCGAAGATGCATCTCTCGCCGCCCCGGCTGGAGTCTGGCGCAGGCGGGCGGCGGCGGCGGCGGCGGCCGGGGGGTCCCCGCGTTGCCCCTCCAGGCGCGCGCGCCTTCCCTCCTGAGTTCCCCTCTGGAAGTAGCGATTCCCGAGGCAAATTAAATATCCTTGGGCAGGGGGAGGCGAGCTGCCAAGTCCCAACGTTGCACGGGGTTCTCCCTCCTCCTCCTCCTTCGCCTCCTCCTCTGCCTCCTCCCACCCCCCAACCGCCCCGCCGCCACCAGCCGCCCAAATACCAGCTCAATCGCAGAGACCGCGGCGCTGCGGCTGTTGCTGCTGGTGCTGCCGCCGTCCGCGGACCGGTCCGCTGCAGCCCCCATTCGGGCCCATCTCGGCGGGCGGAGAAAGTGCCTTCTCCACGCAAAACGCTACTGGGCAGCCGAGGGAGCTGGGGACGCGCCGGAGGGATAGGCTCATCCCTGCCCCTCGCTCCAGTCGGCAGGGGAGGAGGGGAGGGGACGAGGGCGGGAGGCAAAGAGGGAGGTTTGGGAAGGAGTCGGGGAAGACGCCTCTTCCCCGGGAGGCGCTGCCTCTGCAGTTACTTCTCCCCTCCTCCCTCCTCCTCCTCGGAGAGTTGCCGAGAGCCCCAACCAAAACAAGCGGCGGCGTCTGGCTCTGTGCGCCGGCCCCCGCCGACCGCGCCGCCGTCTCACTCGGAGGAGAAAAACACGTGACGGAGCCTCCGCGCTCCGCAGCCCGGCCGCCGCCGCCGCCGCTGCCACCGCCGCCGGGAGGCTCCCGCCCCGGTCTCTACATTCCCGGCCGAGCCCGCCCCGCGCCCGCCCCTCTCCGCCCCCCGGCCGTGCCGCAGCGGCGCCCGAACTGGGCCCCGGCGCAGCGCTCGGGCAGCGCCCCTGCGCGGCCGCCCGCCCCAGCGCAGAGCCGTCCTCCGCGCGCGCCACCCGGGGCGCCCCCGGCCCGCAGGAATCCCCGCCGCGGGTGCGGGCGGGTGTGTTTGGGTGGCTGCCCGAAAGCACGAGGGGAGTCTGGGAAAACGGCGGCGGGGGGGCGAGCTCGGGAAGACGCAGGAGTGAGGGTGGGGGGCGGCGGGGGGGCACTGCGGCTACGGGGCCCTGAGTGGGAGGGTCCGGGGAGGAGGGGGCGCGGGAGCTGGGCTAGATCTTACCTAACAGGTAAGACCGACCCCTAGAGAGGGAGGTTTCCAGTCAAGCCTTTTTCTCCCAGAAAATATAAAACCTAGATTTCAGTTTCAGGGTGATAGGCCACAGTGCGGAATTCTGTATTTTTATAAGGTCTACTAAGGGACTTCTGGGCCAGCCTTCCACGTTGGAATCCCCGAAATCACTGCAGGGAGGTACCTCGAAGGAACAGAAGTGCGCCCAAGGGCATATATTGGGGGATTCTGATCACTCCGAAATGAAAAGAGGCATCCCGGTAGAGTGTCCTCTGTCCGGCGCTGTGGGGCTAGCTGCTGATCAATTAGGGAGAAAATGTAAATAGCTCGCCCCCCCCCCATCCTTCCTGGGGAAGGGGCGGGGATCCGCAAGGCTTGGTGAGTAAACGAGATGCCCCTTATCATATTCCGGAATCTACCTGTGTTTTTAAAAACATGTTAGGGACCTACAGAGGGTTCATAACGCCAAAACCCTACTGCGTAAATATTGGCTTAAGTGTTTGTTTCACGCACAGCTTCCACACCCATTGAACCACCCCATACAATTTTTACCCTTGACCACGAGGTTAATCGGGAGAAAACAAGGATCGTGCCAGCTCGACGCTATGGCAAAATGGGTGCTTCACGAGTAGAACAGGCCAGCATCCTGGATCTACTTGAACAGACTCTTACAGTCACCTTGGGGTATCAGTCTCACTACAAGCAAACGCTTCCCGAAGTTTTTTGTTTGTTTGTTTTTGTTTTTTTAAGCTGACCTATAAGCAAGCAGTGTGTCCCTTGCTTGCCCAGTTGGCAGTAAGGATCCTACGAAGATGACGTTTGTCATTTGGTGTACTGCTATCTTATTTATCCACCCCATTCCTGGCCGGTTTGGGGTTTCCGCCCCCTCTCCAGCCGGGGACCGTCCTTCGCCTCCAGCTCTCAGGCACTGCGGGATGCTCGCGGGCAAAGGCGGCAGTGGAAGTGCTGGGCATGCTCCGTGGCCGGGCCGGCTGGGCCGCGGAGGAGCGCGCCTGGGCCTAAAGCGGGGATGAGGGGCGGGGACTGTTTCTTGGGCAAGCTGCTGATTGGTAGAGCTGCCTGTCTTTCAAGCATTGCATTGCAGGAGGGGAGGTGGGAACAGAGGGTGAGGGTACCAAGGTAGGTTGCAAAGCGTAGTAAAAAAATAAAATAAAAGAGAAGAACCATAGGCGCCATTCAGTGGCGTGTGGTACGTGAATTGGGGGACCCGGCATCTTCGGAAGCCTGGGAGCTCATTTCTCCTCTTACCTTCAGGTTCCCCAACATCATGGGGGCTCATCTAAACCTGGTTAATCTATCATTTGTGTACACACTGTTGAATTGAGAGCCCGCCCTTCTCTCCCTCTGACAGCTTGGTGATGGGGGCACACGTGCCCACTACTGCAAAGCTATAAATAGCAGATATTTGGAGCTGGTAAGGAGGCAGTAACAACAGTGACCGAGATTCTGGGAGCGTAGCTTGCTTTACGGGGAGCAGGGGAGGGGGGATGCGGAGCAGGGAACACTGAAGTTAGTAGTAAAGTGTAATTGTGTGGGGTTTTACCCTTGGCAAGAAAAAAGTCGGATAAAAGGGTTGTTTGTTAGTAACAACGTGATCTAAGGCCAAAGGGCTTTTTACAATTTTGATGGTTAGCGCGGAGGGGAGTGGAGGATATTTCACATTTTGTAGGAAAACAGCCCAAATCCATAGACTTTCACTTTTCAAATGATCCTCTCCTTCCCCGCCCTCCCCCCAAAAGCTAAAGGGAATATACCTCTATGGAAAACAAAATACTCTTGCTAAAAGAAGGCAGGAAGATCGATTTAATTTGCAAATATTCTACAATAACCTTCGCAGAAAGATTTGGATTTTAATCATATAAAACAAATTACTACATAATTATATAAAAGCTTTTTTTAATGTCTCAGTGGGAAAGGATTTATGCCTTAAAAATTCAATTTCAGTGGCTAAAATGTTCTATAGAAATCATGGAATAAGCCAGATCGCTGCGACAAATTCTGTTCAGACCAGTGGGTTTCAGGCGGAGGGTAATTGCTGATCGTGGGATGTTACTACCATCTCTTCCTACATGCTGATGTTTTACTACCAACGTTAGAGGTGGTTAATATTTATATAGTAAGTTCATTTGTTCTTCACTTTTTTTATTAATGGGCTGAGATAACTCTGGAAATGCACATTTGGTTCATACAAGATATAGACTAAAAAGAGATGCTTTTGTGGAATCTGAAGTAATTTGGAGCAGGTACAAGTATTATCCTGTCACCATACGCTAAATTAGTCGTGTGGCATACTGTAATGAAATACACTGTATGACACATTCAGTCTTAGCTGATAATGCACAGAAACCAAAAAGCAACCTATTACCAAATGTATTGCTCAATGCTGCCATCTATAGGATAGTTAGAGATGATTTGTGTAATAGACTAAAGTTCATTTTAATACTAAAACAGAGCTGAAATGGTTCATGGGCACACTGGGACAGTTATGATATTCACAAATGCAGTTATGATTCCAGGAGCTAAGACTTCGTATTCCATGGGTGCACTGTGTAATGCTATCAGGGACATTATGCAAACTTTATAAATTATTACATATATCCTTAAAGTGATCTCTAACTAGAAACTTATTTTGGTTATGAATTAATCTGTTATAAATTAAACATTTTACATATTGTCAACATAGAGAAGTGTAAGCTACTGTCAAAAATAACAGAAAGGTACAACTAAGAATTTGACAATTAGAAAGTATTTCTTATATCAAAACATGTTCTACTTAGGATAAATAGCTTATACCTGGAGGAGCTGTTTAAATATTGTCACCTCTAAGATTTGGGCAATTTAGAATGATGCTTGAAGGGAAATAAAAACTTGCCAATTTTCTCATTGTAATGTCTATTTTTTATTTTAAGATAGCTTCATGGTAACAAATATTTGAATGCCCACTCTGCAAGGCGGTATAAAATATATAAAAGAGACAGCTTATAGCTTTGATGGCATAATAAGAGATACAAAATACAGATGAATGATACCCAAAGTAGTGTGTGTGTGTGTGTGTGTGTGTGTGTGTGTTAAATGTGGAATAAAGGGTATTTACTGAGAGCAGGTAGAGATCATGGCGGATGAAATAACTAAAGAAATCTTTGTGGAGGAGAGAAGCTTTAAGCTTGAACTTGAAGGGTGGCTATCACTCAGATAAGTGATAGGCAATTTTTTTTTCCCATTCTAGTGCTGTGGAGCACCTCCTTTGTCAGGCATGAAGCTGGGTGCTTAAGATTTAGACTCCTGACATATGATCCTGCCCACAAGAAGCTTACAATAAAGGTGGGAAACAAATGAATACAGTTACAGAGCACTGTGATCTCTCGTAAAAAACAGTAGACACAGCACAAATGAGATCCCACAACGCCCTATTACCTTCTGATTTAAAAGTCATCAATCACAAACAATATGATTCGGGAGCCTGGAGATGCCCCTCCCCTTAATAACCTTGTTCTCTCTCTCTCTCTTTTAAGATTTATTTATTTATTTATTTATTTATTTGAGAGAGAGAGAGAGAGAGAGAGCTCGCAAGTGGAGGAAGGGGCAGAGGGAGAGACTCCTCAAGCAGACTCCCAGCAGAGCATGGAGCCCAGCTCAGGGCTTGATCCCACAACCCACGAGATCATAGCCTGAGCCAAAACCAAGAGTAGGCTGCTTAACCCACTGAGCCACCCAGGTGTCACAACCTGTTCTCTCTTGTAATTAAAATCTGTCATCCTTTCAGATTTAAAAAAAAATGTGAACTAGGGAAATTGAAAGTGAGATAGAAAGTCACATTGGGCTTGAGAATCTGCTAGATCGATGCTTCTCAAACCTGAGAATGTTACTAAAGTGCAGGTTCTGATTCAGGTCTAGGGCAGACTGCTGTCCTACATGTCTGACACATTCCCAAGGATACTGATTCTTCTGGGTACATGTGGGCATCACCTTTTCTCTAGCACAGTTTCAGATGACTGATGATTGGTCGAAAGGCACCATAATATGCTGCTGGGAAATGCAAGCAGAGTACTTACATTTCAGTATTCTAGACATTCCAAGAGAACAACAGCAATAACGATTCTACTTAACTGAGGTGTTATTGCATTGGGGCTTCTCTCTTTTCATTCACTGGTATCAAATCTTTCTGACAAGTGTGAAGAGTTATTATGTCTCTTAAGCACTTGTGTGAGTGTTTTCCAAGGTGTGATTAAAAATGTAGAGTTCTGGCTACATCCAAGTCCTACTGAATCACAATCTTTTACAGAACGCTGGACCCCCACCATCTGCATTTCAAGAAGCATTCCAAGAGACCCTTATTTACACTAAAATTTAAGAATCAGTGGCTTAGGTACAAAGGGAAATGTTTAATTAAATATCTTGGGAACAGGTGAATGTACAGCCTTACCCAGTAAACAAAAGTCTCTACCGTGGAGTAGGCAGTGACCCAGGCCTGGTAAGTCTCTGAGTCTTTGG